TGATAGTTCAGAGTTCTAGAGCTAGAGGGTGGAACCAGGAGGGAAAGAATGCCATGCCAGGGGTAAGGTGACCACTGAGGATGGACTGAAGCATAGCTGGAGGCCTTTTCTGAAACAGTGAGGAGTTCACCAAGACGGAAATTTCTTCAGGTTGGGAAGGAGGCTATCCAGGCTAATGATGATGATGATGATGATGGTGGTGGTGGTGATGATGGTAATAACTAGCATTTTATATTGCACTTTAAGTTTGCAAAGAGCTGTACATGTGTCATCTCATTTGATCTTGGCAGTTAAGTACTATTATTACTCCCATTTTACAGATGAGGAAACAGAGACTGAGAAAAGTTAAGTGATTTACCTAGGGTAAAATAGCTAGTAAGTGTCTGAGGCAGAATTCAAATCCAACTCTTTTTAGTTTCAAGTTCAACACTCTATCCATTGCCCTCCAGATGCCTCAGGGTCGAGAAAGGGTGGGAAGCTAAAGCAAGGTTGAAGCTTTTTGACTTGGTCTTAGGGCAGCTAGGTGGAGCAGTGGATAGAGTGCCAGATCTGGAGTCAGGAAGACTTGAGTTCAAATCCAGCCTCAGATACCAGCTGTGTGACCCTAGGCAAGTCACTTTACCCTGTTTGCCTCAGTTTCTTCATCTGTAAAATGAGCTGGAGAAAGAAATGGTAAACCATTCCAGTATCTTTGCCAAGAAAACCTCAAATGGAATCACAAAGAGTTGGACATGACTGAACAACAACAGCAAAGACTTGGTCATTTGGAGTTGCTTGCTGTACTGAAATAGTAAGTTACTCCTTCCAGGTATATAGCTAGTACATGCTATAGGCAGGGATGGAACCCAGCTCTTCCTGACTTGTAGGTGGTATCCAATAGGCTGTACTGTTCTTCATGTTTGTGTGTTTGCATTTGTGTGGGTATGTATGTATATATGTATGCATGTTGTTAAAAATGATTTCTCTTGGTAATCTGTGTCCTGGAGACTCAGAGTTCCACCCTGCCAGCTTTCTGTCCAAAGTTGTTCAGAAGGACATCTCTGACAATGAGATTGCATCAAACCTTCTCATTTTGGTCAAACTCCAACCTAGGCCTGAATTGGCTTTATCCTACCCAGGTTTGGACTTCCAAGACTGGGGGGTGGTATTTCCTTTGATGGGAGGCCATATTGGGCCCCATGGACTGAGTGATCTAAGGAACCCGCCCACCTCCTAGTTTGTCAACCAATCATGATGGATTGGCACCCCCTTGGGAACATCTGCTCTTCGCTGGGAATATAAGGCTGTACCCCAAAATCCCAAACTGAGCCGGTTCTGAACTGGGCCCCTTAGGGGCACCCAGTTTTGAACTGAACTCCCATGCAATGCATGCTAAGCCACTTTGAGAAATTAAACCGTGGACACATGTACCCCAATTTCATTTGTCTCCTTCTTAGAGCAGACTGTTTCAGATTAGGGTTCATGGTGTTCATGGGGTTTGGGGTTCACAATGTTTATCATTCACAAAGGCTACATACATCATAAATGTAACTCAAGGCAAACTCGTTTTTTCCAGTTTTCATGTCATACTCTACACGGTCTGAATAGTTGAATTTCATGTCATTATAAAGATGTATCTATCAAGCACTTAATAGAGTGTGGTCTTGTACAAAAGAAATTAACTCTTCCCTGCCCACTAAGGAGCATAGCATTGGAATAAAAATAGGCAGCCCCAGACTGTGGTCTTCTGGGGGCTGCTGGGTATCTTTCTGCAGATATTGGGCCTTGATAATCCTTTACCCTTGGAGGCACCCCTACCCCACCCTAGCATGTTGGCCCATACCCTGAAAGGGTCCCGAGTCCAGGACAGAACTCCTCCTAGGGCCTGGCACACAGGCTCCAGAGGTTGTGACACCCCTGACTGTGAATTCTGGGCTCTCAGGCACCCCATGGGGTGGCACGAAGCGCCAGGGATCTCAGATGTGATGATGAGGATGACTATGAACAGCAGGGGCTGTCTGGAGGATCAGCTCTTCTGCTCATGAATATTCATCCGACTTCATTGCTCACAGAGGGCCACCTTCCCACAGAGCTGCTTTTGCTGGGAAATTTTGAGAGTTTTCTTACCAACTGGTTTGTGCATGAGTGCATGTGTGTGTGCGAGTGTGTGTGCGCGTGGGGGGAGGAGGGGGTGTGTGTGGCTGTGGGTGTGGGTGTAGGTGTGCGCATGTTCATGGTAGATAGGCCCTGGCCTTTGGGAGCCAGGAAAACCTGGGCTTAAATTCTGTCTCTGACACTTAATGGTCATATGCTTCTGGACAAGCCACTTTACCTCTGTCTACCTCAGTTCTTTTATTGGTAAAATGGGAATAATCATAGTACTGGCCTTCCAAGGTTGCTGTAATGAGATTATGTATGTAAAGCACTTTGAAGACCTTAATTAAGGGCCATTTAAATATCATCTAAGATTATTAAACACCACTGAGTCTGTTTCTAACCTTAGTCTAGAGGTTAACCTATAGGCCTAGGTGTGGTTGGCCTCAGATGTTAGCATGCATGGCTCTGACTACAATCAGGAAGGCAGGAAGGAAGGAATGGAGGAAGGAAGGAAGAAAAGGAAGAAGTTAAGGAGAAAGGGAGGGAGGGAAAGAGGGAGAGATAGAAGGAAGGAAGGAAGGAAGGAAGGAAGGAAGGAAGGAAGGAAGGAAGGAAGGAAGGAAGGAAGGAAGGAAGGAAGGGAGAGAAAGAAGAGAAGGAGGGAAGAAAGGAGGAAGAGCTGGAAGAAAGAAAGGGAGGGAAAGAAGGAAGGAAGGAAGGAAGGGAGAGAAAGAAAGGGAGGAAGGGAAGAAAGGAGGGAGAGATGGAAGAAAGTTAGGGAGGGAAAGAAGGAAGGAAGGAAGGGAGAGAAAGAAAGGGAGGAAGGGAAGAAAGGAGGGAGAGATGGAAGAAAGTTAGGGAGAGAAAGAAGGAAGGAAGGAGGGAGTGACAGAAGGAAGGAAGGAAGGAAGGAAGGAAGGAAGGAAGGAAGGAAGGAAGGAAGGAAGGAAGGAAGGAAGGAAGGAAGGAAGGAAGGAAGGAAGGAAGGAAATAAAGAGGGAGAGAGGGAGGGAAGGAAGGGAGGAAGGAACCAAGCATTTATAATGCAACTGCTATGTGCCAGGCACTGTGCTAAGCATTTTAACAAATACTTCTCCATTTCCCTGCGATTCTCTTCCTCTTCAAGTCTCTGAACTGACTTTGAAATGTCACTTTGAGGCATGACCTATAATTCTTCATCCTTTGGACTTTCTTCCTTTCTGATTCACTCTAGGGATTAATTCACACTTCAGAGAGGGATCACTTGGCCTGACTACATCTTTTACAGTTGGTTTGACTCCTCCTTGTTTGATCTCTTTTCTGTGATCAGGGCTTGGGCTTCCGGCAACACTCTCTTGAATAAATCTAGATGGAGTATATACAAAATGAATCTAAAGCAGTTTGCAGAAGGAGCGCACTAGCCCCTAGGGGAATCAAGACAGGCTTCCTGATAGTTAGAATTTGATAAAGATAGTAATGATAGCTAGAATTTAGATAGCCCTTTCAGGTTTGCAGGCACTTTACATATGTCATGTCATTTGAGCCTCACAACACTGCAGTGAGATAGATGCTAGTATTATCCAGGATCACCCACAGCTACTGTCTGAGATAGGATTTGAATTCAAGCCTTCCTCCAAGCCTAGAACTCTGTCTACTGTGTCACCTAGCTGCCTAAGCTTCCTGCATCAAATACATTTTCTCTGAGTGTTGAAGGGTGTCAAGGACTCCAAGAAGCAGAGATAAGGAGGTAGCACTTTCTAGACATAAGGGGACTCATGTGGGAGATGGAATGTTGTGGGTGTGTGAGAGTGGAACTGTGAATATGGTAATATGGTGAGATCACAGCGTGTGAAGGGAGTAGCAAATAGGTAAGAAGACTTGAAACGTAGTGAGGGCCCAGGTTGGGGAGGGTTTTAAAAGCCAGGTGGTGGAGTTCATATTTGATCTGAGTGATAATTGGGAACTGATGGGGTTTATTGAACGAGGAGGGTAATCAGACTTGTGCTTGAGAAAAACCACCTTTGTGGCTGTGTGGAAGATGGATTGAGGGGCGATTAGGAGGGGGGATGTTTGAGATAATTAAATAAGTCAGGGGACCATTGCAATCATCTAGATGAGGGGCAATGAAGGCCTGTAGTGCAACTGGGTGGCGTGGTGGATGGAGTGCCAGTCCTGGAGCCAGGCAGACTCATCTTTCTGAGTTCAAATCTAGCCTCAGACTCTTACTAGTTGTGTGACACTGGGCAAATCACTTAACTCTATTTACCTCAGTTTCCTCATCTGTAAGATGAGCTGGAGAAGGAAATGGCAAACCACTCCAGTATCTTTGTCAAGGAAACACCAAATGGGGTCATGAAGAATCAGATAGGACTGAAAATGACTGAAATGAAATCAAGGCCTGAACTAGGGTGATGGCTCTGTTATTGGGGAGAAGTGAATGTATTAAAGAAGTGTCATGGAAATAGAAACAACAAGAAACAACTGGGAAAAAAAAAGACACTGGATTTGAAGTCAAAGGACTTGTGTTCAAACCACATCATAAAATTAGAACATTGGACTAGATGAACTCTAAGGCCCTTCCAGCTCTAGATCTCTGGTTCTGTGCTCTGTGGTTCTATGATCTAATGACCTATTCAATGTTGTACAACTAGTAGGAAGCTAAGGTCTGAACTCAGGTCTCCTGACTCCACACTCATTGATCTTTCTAAGTCACAGTGCCTAGCTCAGTGTTGGACACATAATAGGTATTCAATAAAGACCACTGATTGTTGATTGATAAAAACTAATTCCCAGGTCCCAAGTTTAGGGTTACCAAGATATATTGGTGCAAACTCACCTGAAGTGGCCACAGTCTTGAATGCACTATCACATCTTAAAATTAAACTTACATTTTAATGGAAAGGAGGAAGGCAGATTTGTCTATGAACCTAAAATGGAGTACTTACACGAAATGAAGCTCCAGAGATACAGTCCAAGTGGGCCAAGAAGAGTTTCATAGGGCTTGCCAAAAGCATTGTACATGAAAAAGGCTGTCCCGGCCATTGTCAACACAATAAGAATTGTTGAGAATAGAATGATATTCACATGGATACTCACTGGGATGGCTTTGACCAAATCTGGAAAAACTGAAGATTGAGAAAAACACAAAGGATTAAAAGAAGTCTTGTTTTCAATGGACTAAAAATAGATTTCTTTGTAAAATCTTCCGTCCTCCCCTTCTTCCTCTTGGGGACCATTTCAAGCTTGTGCAGGGCACTCCATCTCTCAACTCTGTGTATGTTCCCCATTCCTGCAGCTCTCTCCCTCTCCTCCTTTGCCACCTGGCTTTCCTGGCTTCTTCCTTCATGTCTCAGCCAAGGTCCCACTTTCTGCAAAAGCCTTTTCTAGTCCCCCTTAGTGATTAAGAGAAGAAAGGAAATCTAGGACTAGTGCCTTGGAGTCTGTGTTTGGGGGTGGTGGTGAAGATTTCAGCCTGAGATTAGCTCCAATTTATTCTGTATGTGTCTTATTTGTACATAGTTGTTTGTATATTGTCTTCCCCATTAATGAGATAGTATTTATAAAGTGTTTAACACAGTGTCTGGAGCACAGTAGGTGCTTAATAAATGTGTCTTCCTTTCCCTTCCTTTCCTTTTCTCTTCCCTTCCCCATTCCCTCTTCCCTTCCCTTCCCTTCCCTTCCCTTGCCTTGACTTCCCTTCCCTTCCTTAATAGAATATGAGCCCCTTGAGGGCAGGAACCACATATATGCCTTCCTATCCTCAATGCTTAGCACAATGCTTGGCACATAATAGATGAACATAAATTCTTATTGGCTTGACTTCAAATAAATGAGATGCTCTTTTCATTGTAATTATAAGCAGATTTACAAGAATATTTAAGGACAGTTCGAAGAATTCAGCACTGAAAACTGGCAAAGAGTGCCATTAGAAGAAGAGCTTTGAGGGAAAAACTGATGTGACCCTGAACATACCTTATGTCAGTAAATAATTGCTCCCTTTCCCATCTCGGTCACTATGTGTGATGATAAAAATTTTAATGGCATTTCTCAGTAGTTCACTTCATTTTTCTAAAATTAAAATTCTGGCTTAAGCCAGAATCATTTCCAGTGTATTGCTATTCAGACACTAAAGGAGGGTTTGATCTTGCCCTTAGCTCTGTGGAAACATATTTCTTGACCACATTGAAAGCCCAAGAAGTCCTTAGCAACTGTCAATTTTTTTTTATGTAACATGGATCTATGGAAAATGAATTTATGTGATTGACACAAGAATAATTTGATTTTTTCTGCCCAGAAGAAATAGCAAATTAATTCCTAATTTTTATATTCATGGCAAGATTTAATTGTTAGTGGATATAAGATGATGAATGATCAACCAAAACTCATTCCTGTGACCTGACAAAAATCCACGTGACATTTGCACAAGTTGGTAAGACTGTTCATGGAATGTTGGGTATGTCCCCAGTATTGAGATAGGAAAAAAGAACTGAAACGCAGCTCCTCACCACCAATGAGCATGAGAAATATTGGCATTATTCATTTCATAAGGAGTCATCTCTTGATTTGTCTATTTGTGTCTGGTTGAATCACTTGGTTAATCCATGGTGTTAATGAGACTAAAGTTTTATGGTTTTCATTCCCGCACAAACTAGTTGCCATTACTTTGTTCCATGACCACATGCTGTGTCTCTGACCATGGCCACCCATCTCACAAGTACATATCATTGGCTATAAGGAGAACTAGGTAAGGAGGTATGGACAGAGTAGTGAAATCCAACCCCACTGCTGGGAAGTCTTGTTTTCTTATGGAAAAGAGAAAAGTAAAGGAGAGGATAATACAATTAGGTGGATTTGGAACTGGTTGAATGGTGAAGATCCCCAAGAGGAACCATTAGTAATCTGATGACACTTAGAAGGAGATTTCCAGTGGAGAGCTGTACTTGGCCCTGTGCTGTTTAACATTTTTTTTTTAAAAATCAGGCCTAGAAAAAGGTGGCATCTTTGGCAGATTTGCAGATGACACAGGCCTGGGAGGTATGGCTAGCTAATACACTGGGTGACCAAGTCAGGATCCGAAAAGATCTTGATGGAATAGAACAGAAGACCAGATTGAATAAAATGAAATTTAATAGGGGTAGTTGTAAATGCAACATGAGGACCAGTGGATCACGTGCAATAGGCTCTCTCTTGTATCAGCCCATTGGAAGGACTGGTGAGCCTGTTTGGGGAAGTAGGCAAGCAGGGAGGGATTCAGAGCATGTGCAGGTATTCTCTCTCTGTTTCCTCGCAGCTTACTCCATGGTGGCAAAAAGCTTTTTAATCAACTGCCTCGCTGGAACCGAGTGTGCATACAAAAAGCATGAACAGATGAAATTTCTCTGCTCCCTGATGGCTGTGAGTAAGCAGCTTGCTCAGGAACCTCTTCCCTATGTGGTCACCAGATAGCCTTGCACGTATTGCTGTTACATTTCTTTTTGTCTGGTTGAGTTTATTCTTTCCTGATATTCAGAGAATGAGGACCAGAGAGAGAATGTGGACTTCCAAAGGCTCCAGGAGCCGCCTGGTCATGGGCTCAATACCCAGAACCCACGAATGATTCTGCTCATAGCTACAGCAGCCCAGGCCAGTGAGGAGCTACCTGAATGGTTTGGCTCATCACTGAACCAACACAGCACCTGAGACACCCTGACTTGCAAGCAAGGGAGTTATTTACCCATCAGCTATACTCGATCTGGAAGTGAACTGGGTGGGGAAAATATTGATAGTTACCTCTTTTTTTTTTTTTTGCAATTGGGGTTAAATGACTTGCCCAGGGTCACACAGCTACTAAGGGTAGTTACTTCTTGAAGTGTGAGTCCACTCTCTTTGAGTGTGAGTCCTGGGTCCCCAGAGTTTGGCTACTGCTTCTCCCTTCAAGGTTCTTGGGCTAACTTTAAGGGATTGTCTGGGTTTCTCTAGTATATTTGCTCATGACACCCCTTCCAGAATATTTCCCTCAATGACACTTCCAGTTAATATTTCCCCAATATCACTAATAACCAATTAATACAAATTAGCATCTATAAAAGGATGTTTACTAAGAAAGTATAGCAAAGACAGAACCATAAAAAGATCCCTCCCCCAAAAAACAAACCAACACAACACTGGGGCATGTTCTTGTCTGCCACTTCAGAACCTGAAGAGAGTGGATTCCCACTTACAGTAGTGGCTATCCACATCTCCTCCTGGTTGCCTTTAGGGTGTGACGTAACCAATGGATGAGTCGTTCCCTTGATTTCCAGACAAGTTGTGCTGGCTCCTGGGAAAATCACTGTAGGGCTAAGTCAAGCGGGCACTCCTCACTGGCCCTGACTTTGGTCCCTTCTGACCCTGAGATTCTGTGATTCTTTAAAAAAAAAAAAATCAAATGGGTTCTATTGATTTGGTACCAATAGCATCATCTTCTCCTATGTGTTTTTTGAGGCCCTACATCTTCTAACCCCATTTCAGAGAAATGGCTAACCTGAGGCCATCATTGCCATCTAGGAGGAAGAGTGGTAGGCTAGCTCAGCTTCAGGCACGCTCCTCATTCCTGAATCCATTGATCTATACCAACTCTATCCAAAGGTAAACCACTGGCTTTATTGCTCCCTATGGCCCCATTCCTGATCTCTAGGAGCATACAATTTCTGAAATGATGCCAATGGTTTAATATGGAATTCTTCTCCTGGGCCAGCTATTAATTCTCCCTATACCTCTACCTGTGATGATGAGTCAGGCTACCTCTCTTTGTCCAATAGACATCCTATGCCACAGGAAGGATCTTACTTAATTTCTTACTTAACTTGTGATTTGTTACTTAAAGCTGTACAAAAGTTGAGGGCGTGTTAGTAAACTGAAGCAACTTAGAAAGATGTATGCCCTCTTACCATACAGGAAGTGAATGCTTAAAATATATGTACATACTTGTATTTAATCCTCATGAAGGTTTCATCATCAGAAAGTTGTGCACCAGGAGACGAATTGCTTCATGTTATGCTTACTTACCAGGCTGCTACTTTGTCTGATGAAAAATACCTGGATATCTAATGACTATCTACATGTATTAAAACTAATTTGTCTTTTCCCTGACACGCCTTTTTTGCCTGAGGCTAGATAAGGAACATCCAGAGAAGCCCTGGGAGAAGTCATGTTAGCAAGCTTGGTCTGGGGTTTTAGTTTATTGGCTATTTTAGAAACAAGAGTTGGGTGGCTTTTCCTTTTTTGTTTCACCCCCAGCATGCGAAATGGGCAGGGGACTTGGGGCTTTCCCCATGTGTTTCTGGATCTTTTATAATCCTGATCATTCCTATCTGGTCTTCTGCTCTAATCATCTGGTGAGCTATCTGTAAGGCAAAGGAAGGTATTCATTCTTTAAAAAGGGTGAACAATGTCACCACTGCCATATTGTATTTCTCTACATGGTATATTTTCCCCCTCTGCTTACCAATGTGCTCATCTCTCTTTCTAAAAACAAACCCTGCTTCTCTCTTGATTTCTATCTAAGCGAATAGTTTATCCTTTGGGTACTAGTCTCTAATGTAGGAATGGAGGGGCTGGGGAGCCCCAGAAACATATCCATCACTTGCTTACTAGTAGAGTCTGTGGCCTGCTTCCTCATTGCCTCTGTCTCAGGGGACGGGGCTAACTCAAGATCATCCCTGAGATCTCCCTCCCTTGCCTAGAAGCAAACAGTGACAGTTAAGTGGCTCACTAGATAGAGGGTTGGATTTGAAGTCAAGAAGACCTCCCTGCGACTCAGCTTTCTCATCTATAAAATGGAGATAATAGCATCTTCATCAAAGGTTTGTTGTGAGAACAAAATGATCTAACACTTATAAAGTACTTTGCAAATCTTAAAATTATGTGATATAATAATATAATTATTATTAATACACTATATAATACTCCTAAAGTACTTTGTAAACCTTAAAACCATATAATTCTGCTGCTGCTGCTGCTGCTGCTACTACTGTTGTTGTAGTTAATGGAACCTCGACCAGAGAGGGATCATTGGCCCAGATCCCAGAACAATAAAAGTAACTCACACAGAAGAAAGGGTGCAGAAAGACATGTTTATACTTATAAGGAGTAAAAGAGAGTCTCC